CGACGTGGAAGGCACTATACAAATGTAATCTTGTTGTTGTTGTTGCTGCCTCACACTATTTTAGCATGTTGATCGATAAGCCAACTAACATCACTAAGTCCTTTCGGCTTACTCCTTGAAAGCTGTATCCAATCTACGCAGTACATGTTTCTCCTACTTTTACTTTCTTTACCAGCACCTCATCCAATTGAATTTCAAATACTTCACTTGGCACTGAATAATAATAATAATAATAATCGTCACATTTAGTGCAGTGCCTTTCACAATAGGAGGAATTCCCAATGCACTTCACAGGATATACTGTAAAGTTAAGTAACGGTGCGTTTATTTGTGGCGATCAAGCCAGTTGAGCTCTATTTTTAAGATCTTGCTTGTTTTAGTAGGTTGTTTAAGGACAGGCAGTTGGTAGTTGTCTGGTTTGCTGATAGAATCATGGACCCATAGATGATGATTTTTTTTCAATTATCTAATTGAGGTCAAGCAAATGAGGTTGTGGTTGCTAAGTACTGTATGGCTTTGTCATCCTTCTTAAATACTAGAACATATTTCCTTATTTCCAGTCTATTGGAACCACCTAGAGCTCATTGACTTTTTCAAAATAACTGTCAGTGCTTCACAAATATTCTCTTATCTCCTATGGTATTCTCGGGTTATTTAAACCTATCCATAAACTCTACCTTCGTAATGTCAGAGTCCCACAGTTTTGCTCAACATGTGTTGCATGTCAGACAATATGTTGTAAATGTTCTTCCTAGTAATAAAAAAAACTCCAGGAATAACTCATGTTGTAGCAATGTAGAGTGAGTTATAAATCTGGCCTTTTATTCCATACTGCTACACTGCTAAGGGCTTCACAGCTTGTGTTCGGGCATATCTTTCTGTCTGACTGACATTCCTCATCACTCTGCTGCGTGATCTTTATTGTGGATGAAATGAATTTTCTTCATATGCTTTAGGCGCAGCTCTGATCCAAAATGTAATTCTATTCACTTTGACTATTTTCCTCGATGATGTGTAGTTTCTTGCTGAACAAATGCCATAAAATCCATGTAATACATCAGAGATGGCCATCTTTTGATCAACGGGCCACATTACACATGTGCAAAATAGTCATGCAGGCCACAAGTTGGCCATTCCTGTTATACATCACAGTTGTGCATAAAATCATTCATCAATATTATTATGTTTGTTGTTTTCAGTTAAAACAACCTCTATAATTGATAATGCTTTACAAGCCTTTTGTTCTCAGAACATAAAGTAATAAGTGAAAATGCAACATATATAAAGTATATTCCCTCTTTCATGGTAATATCTCTAAGTTGATTTAAACATCAGCACATCAGAATTATGCTAAATCCCGAAAGATGGAATATTTTCTCACAGTGCAAATGATTAAAGGCATCCTTGTTCCAAGATGTGGAACCAAGGCAGAACTTCTGCTGTGATGATTATTTTGATAAATAGAACTAAGGCTCTTGTGAACACTTGGGAATTGCAACATATTTATGAATCATAGACAAAAACAATACTAATCCATGTATTTGATACAGTACCTTTCATGTCAGGAGGACTTCACAAAAGTCTTCACAGGTAGTGACTGTGTATTTTGTAAGAAAATGTGACAGCTAGTTTGCACACATAGCAATGTCACACAAAACACCATGAAGTGATTGACCAATGTTTTATCTGTGGGATTGTTGGCCATGACATTCAGAGAAACTTCCACCTCTTTTTAGACTAGTGCAATGAAGATTTTAGCGTCCACTCGAACAGGCAGACAGGGTCTCAGCTTACCATCTCATTCTGAAGGACACCTACAATAATGTAGCACAACTCCAACACGCTTGAACCCACAACCTTCTACCTCTAAGGCAAATGTGCTACCAACTGAGCCAGGCTGACACCTATCTTGACCAAAAATCAAGAAAATCTATAATAATAATAATAATAATCCTTGCATTTGATATAGCGCTTTTCACGTCGGGAGGACGTCCCAAAGCGCTTCACAGAACACACTGTGAAGTGAACTGACTGTATATAGAGGCTTGGACCATTTTTGTAGTATTCTGAGGTGCTGGAATGGGTCCAGGATCCTAATGTCCCTGACTTTGTAATCTCATATTAAATCTGCCATCTCATGCTTCAAAAAAAAATTGTTTTTGCCACCTGCAAACTAGACTGTATTCATTAACATTCTCCACATATTATAAACCTGGAAACACTCAGCACAGAAAGAAGTCATCTACTGTCAGATGCACTAAGAACAAGAGGACATAGGTTAAGAATTAACTAGCTTTTTCAGAACAGGTACCAGGAAGAATTTCTTACCCAGAGGGTAATTAATGACTGTATTGGGTTGCCAGGAAAGATAGTTGAAGCTGTGCTGTAATGGAAGGATGGTGTCAAATGAGCCAAATTGTTGTCTTCATGTGAACCAATCTTGTGAATTTGTAAACATTCATTGCAAACCTGATGTGAAATGCGCTGTATCAAATATAACAATTATGTTGACTGCATTTTCACTTTAAACCAATTGGTTCCTCAATCTCTGCATCAGCAATATTTAGATACTGTTGAAGCTGAGTTCCACATCATTTCATTAGAAATCAAACTACAGGATCCTAAATCCAGATTATATTTTATTGTCGAGTGTTCAACTTTTGATTAATTTTAGTGACCTGTGATTCCACCATGAGACCAATCTGTCAGAGGCGTGATATATTTATCAGAGCGCTCATCACTGAAGGAAGGATTTGCAGCTACATCTGTTTAAATAAAACACACTCAGAGGCAAATCTGTAATAAGTATGGAGCTGTTTTACCAAATTACTTAGCATAAGTCAACATTTTATAGGACTTGTAATGTACTTTATGCTATAAAAGCTGATTTACTTAGAAGAAATATGTTTTTGTTATTGTATGAGATTCAAAACTTTTAGGTTCTTGAGGATACATGGACAGTTCTTTCTCAACTGATGAACATGGTTAGTCTACCATATGGGTGTCAGCTTGGCTCAGTTCATAACTCTTTTTCGCCTGGGTCAGAAAGCTGAAAGAAAGCTTGGGGCTACAGCTGCTGGAAGACATTACCTGGAGTTGGAGTTCATGAACACACGTTCGAACATCTAACACCTGGAATCCACCTGGATTGGCCTGCAGAGAGCCAAGCAGCTGCTGCTTAAACTCTGTACCTCCAGTTGGTGGAACCATCGCTTAATGGGAAGGGACATGTGCCCAAGCTAAGGACAGGAAGATGGTGGCAATGCTTTTACCCATTTTATGCTGAGATGTGTTGCCACCAGGAAGCTCACAGGGAGTTCCTTGTACCTACCATTCATCTAGTAAGGGCTCAAACTCGCGCTTGTCGGATGTCGAACGACCAACTAGTGACTTTCTTCCTTGGGGGGAAGGTAAGCAAGGTCTCCTTGGAGCTCAACTGGCTCTAAGATGACATGCCTGGCAATGGAATGTCAGAATCGAGCCAACCCTCTGTGGCGGTCTCGGTAGTCCGGTTCCTGAGCCAAGTGGGTCTGCAGTATTCCAGGGAACTGATGATAACAACACAGCCAGCTTGGCTCATCAGCAGGACCTGGAAGGGCAGACCAGTCACTGGGGACAGGGATAAACATAGAAATTACTGGGAGCACACACAGGTCAGGTCGTATCCATGGAGAAACGAAAATTAACGTTTCAGGTCTCTGATCTTTCGTCAGAACCGGGAGCAGGGAGTCATTCCACTCATATTTCTGTTAACCATGCAAGCCAAACCCCTAACGGGTAGGGTAGTCCTACCTGGACAAGCAGCGGGAAAGCTTGCCAGACAGCAAATCAATGGCTAGCTGTGCGGTTTTAGCTGGTTAGACTCCAGCAGTACCCCAACGCACACTCTGGACTCCCCAAAGCTTGGTTCTTGCCAACCTGCACTGAATACTATCTGGAATTAGGTAAGCAGGATGCGTCCCTCCAGGGGGAAAGGGAGCATTTTATTCCAACAATCTATCTGGGATTTCCATGTGTAGTTGGGATGGATGGAAATCGCAGCTTGGTTTGGATACTCTTAGGCATGGTGATGGGTTTCCATATGTGGCAGACACCTGGCTGACCAAAAAAAATGGCTGTGGACTTAAGCCCCAAGATGGGTCTTTGAATTTATAGCCCAGGCTGACACTCCAATCCAGAGCTGGGCGAGGGCTGCACTATATAGTGAATGAGACATTAAACCAAGTTATCATCTGCATCCTCAGTTGGATATTAAAGATCCTGTGGTACTGTTAAAAATGAGAAGGAAGTTTCTGCCAGTGTCTTGGTCAACGATCCTCAGGTAAAGATTGGTCATTCACTTTGTGGCTGTTTGTGGGACATTGTTATGCACATATTGGCTGCCAGATTTGCTGACAAATACATAGTCACTAAATTTTACAACATACTCGTGAAGCACTTTGAGAGCGTCTTGATGTACAGGCGCTATGTCAAATGCAATATTATTATTATTTTATTATTATTTGTTATTTTAATTATTGTTGTTGTACCAGGCCTACAAATACAAACATTACAATCATTGATGCAATTTGTAATTACATTACATCATATCACAGAGTCTGGCCACTGCTAATTTTTAAGAATTTTATACAAGTTTCATTACAAAATTAAGAGCTCTGCCGTGTGCCTTGATGATAATGTTGTGGTTGCTCAAGTTGTTTGAGAATGCTGTATTCTCTATAAATAACAATTCCTGTAATGCTCTTTCAACTGATTCCCGCACTTAGGGCAGTCTGTTTGTGCTTAAAAATTGAACGCAAGCTTTAAGGTGCGTGAAAGATGTTCACTGTAGAGTGTAGATGAAGTTGGAGATTTGCTGTCAATGTGAGGATGTTATAATAATCCTAATAATAATAATAATAATGTCTTAGCAAGACATGTGTTAAGTAACCATTAATAATACTAATATAATAACAATAATAATGATGACCTTTCACCAATTTATGAATATTTTTTGTTAGCCTCTGCTCACAGGAGAAGCTACCAATCACCTTCCAGTCCTGCGTCGTTCCAAAGGACTGCCAAATCTCCGAGTGGTCTGACTGGAGTCCGTGTTCCTTGTCGTGCTACAGCCCCACCTCACCTAAAGGATTCCGTACCAGGACGTCCAATGTTAAACAGTTTCCTCTTGGCGGTGGACAGGAATGCCCGTCATTGGAGGAGAAAGAACCCTGCACTCTCCAGGGGCAGGGAATACCACCTTGTGCTGCGTAAGTGTACAATTCCTCATGGCTGCATTCTGATAAGCATTAAACCAGTGGCTTCCCAGCTCGACACTGAGAACTAGTTATTGACCATTGATTCATTAACAAGGGTGTCATGAAAAACAGTGGGCTGCACATACTTTTTTTTGTTCATTTTTATATAACGAATCAAGATGAAGGATATCACTAGGAGAAGCAACATTTTAACAATAATCCTCGCAATTGATACATTATCTTATGTCGTCAAAATGTCTCAAAACAAATCACAGGATTTTACTGTTTGCGTATTTGCAGGCAAATGAGGCATCCAATTTGCACACAGAGATGTCCCGCAAACAGCCATAAAGTAAATGACCAATGTTTATCTGGGGATTGCTGGTAAGGACAAAAGAAGAAACTCATTGTCCCTTTTCAAGTAGTGTTAAAGCTGATACAGTTCTGGTTGATGATCCCCAAACCCTCCGCACCACCATCGTGGAGGTGCCTTCAGCCACTACAGCCCGAATTATTTGAATTCTCTCAATCCCTCTGCTTTATCCCCTCTTTATATATCTTTAAATCCCACCTGAAGATCTACCTCTTTTATGGCACATCTGGTCATATTCCCTTCCCTCTTTTCCATTGCTCAGCATTCAAGGGAGCAGTGCTCGGAGATGCTATTCTACGGGAACGGAGCTACAATAATGCAAGTTGTTGTTGTTCTTATTGGAGCATCAGCCTAGTTTGTGATTTCAAAGTCCTGAAGTGGGGCTTGAAACACAACCTTCTTATTCAGAGCCAACAGTGCTGTCAACTGAGCCAGGCTCACACCTCAATTTCCCCTATTGGGAACGCAATGTCATATTATCTCCAGCTAATCATTAAGCGCTCTAGCTAAATATACTTAGCAGCACATTGCAGGATTTAAAGTACAATGGGAAGACTTAGATGTGTTTAACATAACTGAACCATTCACTGCACTGAAAAGTAGACAGTATTTCAAACATCATAAACACACAAGAAAACTGTTTACATCTCACTCATGCCTTGCTTTTCAGCCTCAAATGCATATCCATATCTAACAGACTACATAGAAATCGCTCATGAGTGATCCGAGCCATTCAGATATGCAGCTTCTCCTGTATTTATTCTGACATTGTCATCTGTTGTGTCACATATTGTCACCCCGATTTACAAGATTTGTTCAAGTTACAAGTCAACAGAGTAAAAGTTCTCATTCCACTAATTTCCAGACACTATCCTGCATTTAGCTTTCAGACAACATCTATTTTACCCATTTTCTCTTTGTGTCCCATGTTACCAGTCTTACATGAAATAAACATGCTTGTAAATACAGCAACTCCCGCCAGGCTTACCAGAATCCAGGTCTCCGGAATTCAGACAAAGCTGACAAACCTGGCCTCAAATGAAAAAAAAAAAATGCCATTGTCCTGTGCGTAGACTCTCACCAGTCACCCTGTTAGTGCGAGTCCCCACCTCACTGTTCTAGTTGGCCTTCAGTGGCTAGATACAGCATTTACTTACTATCTTCTACTCACGGGATTCAAACAATTACAATGCTGTCATCTGTGACATGTGCTGCACGTACCTCAGCAGGGACAACAGAAATTTGCATTTATATAGTGCCTTCATGCAGGATAGAGTCTCAGAGCACTGCACAGTGGCTAGGTTGGATGCCAAGCAAGGGAGAAGGGCAGATGACCTTTGTCACAGTCTAAGAGTTAGGTCTTAAGGTGTGATTTAAAAGATAGATAGAGAAGAATTCAGGCAAGGAGTTCCAGATGTTAAGGGTGTTGTGGCTGAAAGCATGACCACCAATGGTGGTGCGGAGGGGTCGGGGGATGCACAGCAGACTTATGTTTGCTGAGCGAAGGGAGTGGCAGAGGAATTGGGTATGAGCAGGTCAGGAAGGAAGGGAATTGTTAGGGATTTGTATGTTAGGGTGAGGATCTTGGTTGATCCTTTCATGGATGAACAAGCCCATTGGCCCAAAATTACTCAAGTTTTTAGGGTCAACAACAACAACAAAATTACATTTGTAAAGAGCCTTTCATGTCGGGAGGACATCCCAAGGCGCTGACCAGGACCCGAACCTAGGGGTAGGGTTGGGTTGGGGTGAGGGAGGGCAGAGGGGGTAGGAGGACAGCTGAAGGCACAGTCAACAAAGAGGATCTTGAGTCGTGCCTTGAAGAAGGCAAGAGAAAGAGCAAGGTGAAGGAATTGTGGGATGGAGTTCCAAAGAGTGGGGGCAGAGAGGCTGAAAGCCCGGCCACCGATGGTAGGGTGGGTCAGGCTGGATTCCTTGAGCAGGCCAGAGCCTGCTGAGCGGTTGGACCAGACAGGTTGATAAGAGGTCAGTACTTAAGAGATGTAAGAGAGGGCAAGGTCATGGAGGGCCTTGAAAGTAAGGAAGAGGATTTTGAATTCTATCCTCTGAAGGATGAGGAGCCAGTGGAGCCCAGGGAGGGTGGGTGATGGGGTTACAGAGCCTGGTGCGGGAGAGGGCATGAGCTGAAGAGTTCGGGATGATTTGCAGCTTGTGGAGGGAAGGGTTGAGGAGGCCGACAAGGAGGGATTTTCTGTAGTCGAGCCTTGAGGTGATGAATGCATGTGAGGGTTTTGGTGGCCTGAGGGGTGAGGCAGTGGCGGAGTTGGCCAATGTTACGGAGGTGGGGGAAGGCAGATCGGGTCATTGCACAGATATGGGGGAGAAAGGACAGTTGAGGGTCAAACAAGATGCCCAGGTTCCTAACTGGCTTGGTCAAGTGGAATGTGCTACCATGGATGCTATGCTGACAGTGCCTGAGCTGCTGAGGCGCTGGTGCGAGCCAATCAGTCTTGCTGACTTTCAGTTGTAGAAAGTTGGCTCTCATTCAGATCATTGGCTTAAAGTTTAAGAATGTGCAGAATTTTAATATGCTCTTTCTGGGCAGTTTTCCAAAATTTTCCATCTATTGACAATGGTCTTAAACCTAAGAACTGAAGACTTTTAGGCCCCATGGATACATAACGAGACAAAATCAGTGAAACAAGACTGTCAAAAAATAGTAGAATGATACAAAATAATCTAGAACACCTGCACAAGCATTAAATAACACTGATGTCAACAAGAAAATTGCATTAACAAGAAGATCATTTTTGTTGAGATTGAAGAGCCCCCGAAATCTGTCACTGTTCAGTGAGGAGAATGAATGTGTTTTAAATAGTGGGACATCAATTTGAATCACTAATCAGCCAATTCTCAACTTAGTATTTAAACATGAAGTACACTTTGATATAGATGATTTTGTGCTGCAAATTGTAACAGTTATACTTCTTAATGCTGGTATTGTATTATTCATGAAATTAACATGTTGTGGCATACTGATGTTGTGGTTACTTAGTTTACATTTGAATATTTAATAAGCTAAAGTGTAGCGTGTTTGAAATTTGGGTTTGATTTAATTGGAAACGATAATTTTAGCTCTGAATATTTCTGCTATTTAATTATTTAAAACCAGTTCTCTAATTCAAGATATCTCACTGAACAGTGAACTTAGATTGAGCCAGGATGTGAATGATTACATTGTGCATGAAAGTGTTTATTTTTTAGGTAAGTGTCTGATGCATGCAGAAACCCATCACCAAGCTTAAGAGTATCCAAACCAAACTGAGAGTTTCACATATGTATGCCACTTACACATGGGAAATGTCCTGTGTCTGAATTGTGGAGTCCTGTAGCTCAGTGGTTAGAGCACTCGCTTTGCAAGCGAGAGACCTGAGTTCAATTCCAGGCAGCGCAAAACCTTGGGCAAGTTTCCTTACTCCACACGCCTAATAATAATCCCTCCAAAACCAAAAACAATAATAAATTGGTCATTTTCAATCTACGACTGTTTGTGGGACATTGCTGTGCGCAATTGGCTGCCGCGTTCGCCCACAAATATACAGTCAACTCACTTTACAGTGTGTTCTGTGAAGCGCTTTGGGACGTCCTCCCGACGTGAAAAGCGCTATATTAAATGCAAGGATTATTATTATTATTATAATGGAATGCACACTCTAGAGGGATGTACCCTGAGTACCTAATAGCAGAGAGTATTAGGTGCAGGTTGACAAGAGTGAATTGCTGACTCCAGAGTTTGGGTTGAGGTAACTGCTGGAGTTTAACCAATAAAGCAGCAGAGTTTGCCATTGTAATTACTATCTGGCAAACTTCCTGCTCTTGTCCAGCTATGACAACCCTACTCATTATGGCTTTGGCTTGCAAAGGAACTTGACTCCTGGTTAACAGGAGTTGAGTGGAAATAATCCTTGCTCCTAGTGACCAGTATTCCCACCCCCCCCCCCCCCCCCAAAGTCTTACAGATGAGCTAGGCTGACTTGTCTGTCATCAGCACTTGTCTGTCATGACTTGTCTGTCATCAGAGTTCTGTGGACCTGCCTGTCCTCCCTCCAAGGAGGATAATCACTAGTTGGTCATTAGGCATCCGGCAAGCGCAGGTTTGAGCCCTGACTAGGTGGGTGGCAGGTACCAGGAACTCCCTGTAAGCTTCCATGAAATGTGTAAAAGCATTGCCACAATCTTCCTGCCAACAGCTCGGACATACATCACTGCACATTGGACGATGGTTGCACTGGTTGGAATGAAAGTGTAGCATGCTGAGAGAGAATGTAAGCGAATATGAGAATGCAAGTGGAACTATTTGAGGGATAGAGTACTTGTGTTGAGAGGTGCATGGGGAGAAATTGAATAAAAACAAATGGAAGCAAATGGCATGCAATATAGAAGCAAACCGAGGGAAATAAAAAAAGAAAGTGATAGAGATAAGCAGAATAAAAGGGGGAAATACAATACAATTTACATTTATATACAGTGCCTTTCACGTCAGGAAGACATCCGAAAGTGCTTTGAATAGACGCACAGATACATCTAAGCCTCACTTTGGCTTGTTGCTTTTCCACCTTGTTTAATATGCATAATTTAGAGGTATTAGTTTTATGTTATTTATGTTGAGAGAAATGAA